TTGTGAATTGTTTAAAAAATTAATTCCACTACCTTTCTTGTTGCTCTGTTTTGCTGCCTCCCATTAAATATTCTCTTCTCTTCTCTCTCAGTTCAAGTAAGGTAGACATATTCAAACAATAATCAATTAAACTGGTCCCTCCTCTTAACTCCTTCATGTGCTGGACACAACCTGACTGAAACTCTAATGGTAAAGACACATATCATCATGATCATGATACATGTAAGTGATACCAGGGTAATACTACAGTACAGGGTGAAAAAAAGCTAAGTAACATCAGTAGTACACAGGTAGTTCGTAGGTAGTTATTTTACTTCGTTACTGCCCAGTCACATGTTCTGTAGTAGCAAGTGCTCACTCGCTCTAGAGGCTCTCAAAGGACTTGAGGATGCTTCTCTTGGCTGTCTGTGCTCTCCAAGTTCATCTCTACTGCTGCTCTCTGCTGTTAGAAACCTGTTTAGGAGGCTCTTCGCTCAATTCACCGTCAAGCTACTGTCCTGCTACTGACCATACATGCACTACTACTACTGGTGGGTTTGCGCATGCGCAATGAAGAAGCAGTGAACTACCTACACAACAGTAGAGTAGCTACTTAGCTTTTTTTTCCGCAGGGTAATGTTACCTTCTCTTGGTGAGGCAGTTGGTTTGGGTCCATCAAAATGAAGAGGAAGGGGAGGCTTCCTGTGACCTGATTTCAACTGAGAGAGTAACCTCTGGATATCAAGATGACCACTCCCCCTATCAGTGGGTGGGGTCTCCTCTTTAACTTCTGATACAGCAACAGGAGTTTCACCTATATAGATATACAAAAAATACACAGTAAATATACAGAAAATATACAAAGAATATACAGAGAATACACAATGTGCTGAGAGTATACTAAGATTACCGTACGGTTGGTAAATTTCGTGGGGTATTAATTTTCGTTAATTTTGTGGTTTATTTTTATCCACGAAATTTTAACCCCTACCCACCCACACATAAAAGCTAATTAACGGGCCATGCATATTATATCTGTTACTCCATATTCCACCATAAGGAAACTAGTCCAGTAGATCCAAGTGAAAAAAAGTTTGCTAACTACCACCCACGAATATTAGCTTCTAAGGACATTTTGGAGAAAACACAAGATTTTGGACCCTCAAATATTACCAACCGTACAGTATATACAACAATATACAGAGAATATAAAATGTACTGATAGTATACTAACTATATACAAAAATATACAAACATATATGTAAGAATGCATGTATATACAGGAAACAATTATAAATAGATTACCTTTACTAATTATCAATTTCTTCAAGTAATCATGGCAGTCACATATGATATTCTTTAATAAAATAACATCATCAACACACAAGACTCCATCATTGCCTCCAGGAACACACAAACTCAATATCAGACGTAGCAATGGAAGGGAATGAGTGGAATCACACTTTGGTAGCAAGTAAAAGGAGTGGTTTAATAACTGCTTTGATAAAGTACTGATGATTGGAAACTGGGCAGATTTAAACTCTGAAAAGAGAGAGAGGGAGAGCAAGAGAATAAATTGAAGTATACTGTAAATCTTGTATATTTCAAGTGATGGTAATTTTCGTATACCATATAGCACTTTATTTTCGAGGAGCTAAACTTTCACTATTTTCGCAGTTAGCATGAAACCGCAAAATTAAAGATCCACTAAAATTTCAATGGCCATAAAG